TCAAATGGGGATAATAAATAGCACATCGTTATGGACCGGGTCTAAGGTAGGTACTGTTTAAGTATAAGCTGTTATTAGGGCCTCTAGCAGTCAAGAGGTCCCGCCCATCTTGGCCTTCAGTTTCCTTCTTCTTCCTCTTCCACGCCTTCATCGCTCCATTGATCCATTCATCCATCTATTCCACAAATGATTGCTGAACACCCACATATGTGTCTGACCCTAGATCAGAGCTTGGGGATGTAAATATGAGGCCCAGCCCCTGCTTTTGGGGGCTCCCCGATTGATAGAGGGTCATGAATGCACCTGCTCAAGATCCCAGGGTGAGAGCGAAAGCTTCGCATAGAGATCTGAGCGGCAGGTCTCGAGGTGCACAAGCCTGGGAAAGTCATTCCAGGCAAGGGAACTGTATGTGCAAAGCACTGGGACCAGAATTAGTTTCCTGAAACACAAATTTGACCAAGTCATGCCAATTGTGTTTTGGCACAAGAACCTGTAATCAGCCCTGTGAGCTCACTATGGTTCATGTTGCACAGGATTTAAAGTCCTTCTGCTTGGGTTTCAGTTTCTTCCCAATCTGCGGCCACTTACTTACTCCGTATTCACCAACTCAAGCCCCACCTGCAGCTAGGTGAAGCCCTCTCCTCTTCTGCAAAAGGATAGGATCTTCAGTGGAACTTACAAGATGATGCATGTTGCTGTGCGGGAGCTGGAGTGTCCCTCAAAGGCTCCTGTGTTGAAGGCTTGGTCTCCAGTACAGCAATATCCAGAGGTTTGGGGGGGATTTGGGGAAGTGATCAGATCATGAGGGTGATCAGATCATCAGTGGATGGATGACTCTGTGGGGTTGGTGGAAACTGTAGGAGGTGGGACTGGATTGAAGGGAGCGTGCCCTTGGGACTATATCCAGTGTCCAGCCGACCATGAGCCTTCCATTTTATTTTCTTTCTTCCTTAAAGTTTATTTTCTCAGGCATTTTGTCACAGCAACAAAAAAGCTGGCTGACACACAAATAGCTAGGTGCTTAATGAAGGAGCACCTCGGCGCTGCCGACACACTCAAGGCTGCTCAGTCTGGTTCTCTTTGTTTCAAGCGTGTGGAGGAAGCAACTGCCAGGCAGAGTTCAGGGCGTGGTCTGGGAGTCAGCAGAGCTGTGTCTAGTCCTGGCTTGCCCTCCAAGACACTTTCTATGGGAACCTTCCCCAAAAAGCTCCTCCCTCCAAAATGAAATGGTTCTGGAGTTTCTCGGCAAGGGGCGCTATGGGCCTTTGGGGAGAAACAACTCTGTTGAATGAGCCCATCCAAGCATTTGAGAACCCCAGCAGCTAGCACGGCCTCCCCTTTCCCCCCAGCATACATAGAGGCATCCCTCCCTCCATGCCTCAGGGTAGGAGTGTGGTTTGAAAAGCATTTTCCTGATCCTTTCCAGCTCTGATCTACCAATCTCTGACTCCTTAGTTATGTCTAATACATCAAGGAGACTCTGCTTTGTACATTTCCCCTCAGTCGCTACAGAAGTTTGGGGTGCGTACAGGCAGCAAACTATAAGTCACTGGGGAGCAGGTGTGTCCCAGGTTCTGTAGCTACACTGAGAAATTTCACACCTGGCTGTGCCACGTAACAGCTGTGTGATGCTGGGAAAGCTACTTAATTTCTCAGAGCTCCGAAACTTGGTTCTTTTGTAAAATGGGCAACAGTGATGAGTCTGGATCTGAACCAGGATCTGAACCCAAGCGACTCTGAACAGTTCACAGAGTTATTGTGAAGGTTAAATAGGAATAAATGTGCCATGCACAGTGTCGCTCACTGGTAATCCCAGTGGTTTGGGAAGCTGAGGCAGGAGGATCATGAGTTCAAAGCCAGCCTCAGAAACTTCGCAAGACTCTATCCCAAAATTTTTAAAAAATAAATAAATAAAGAGGGCTGGAGATGTGGCTCAGTGGTTAAGTGCCGCTAAGTTCAATCCCCCCGTATCTTCTCCCCCTCCAAAAAAAGAATAAACGTTAAGCACACAGCACCGAGCCTGGCTTGTAATGACATACTCAATACAAGATTTATTGAGTCATCTGGGCAAAGATTAAATCTCAATTTTCTCACTAAATAAGAATAAAAGTGCTCAGGGATGTTGTGAGACCAAAGCCAGCGTGCAGTTGTCCCTCAGTGTGCTACATGATGGGGGGGACTATAAATGAATCACTGCCAGTTTAGCAGTATCTTTCAAAATTACAAGAACACATGCCCCTGTCCCAGCAAATCTGTCTCTGGCTAATTTCCCTATAAATACAGGTGTGCAAATAACTTATTTACAAGACTTGAATTAACAAAAAGAAAGAACGGAAGAAAAGAAAAGAAAAGGACTCCAATTATCTGTCCAGTTGTGGTTAGTTAAATCAATGGTGGGGCATAGATACACTAGAATACTATACAACTATAGAAAGGAACAAGGGAGTTCTCATGTACCCCATGGAAAGATCTCCAAGATAGACTGGACTGAGAAAAAGGAGGCTCTGTCTGGAATGGCAGTGTCCACAGGCAGTACTGCCCTAGAAGGCTCTGGAAGGACTCACAGGGATCAGTAACAGTGGCTGCTATCAGTGGCTGCTATCTTCAGGGAGGGTAAGGAAGAGAGGAAGGCTTGCGGGAATTTGGAACCATATGGATATAAAAGCTATTGATAAGTACAAACCCCAGCGTCTCACCCAGAGCGGTACTGAGCGCCAGTCTGAAGCGAGGTCTCGGTGCCGGGGATGGCATGGGGCCTGGCTCCCTGCATCTCTGGCAGATGGCCCGTCGCCATCATCATCCGCACACACTGCCAGGGTCCAAGGCAGGGCTTGGCCGGGGCCCAGGGGTGCCGCGCCCCCTCAGGGCAGGCAGCCACTCAGGCCATCCCCAGCACCTTGGGAGGCCTCTTTCTTCCCAAGAGGCCCCCGCAGTTTGGAGGCTGTGGTGCCAAATGCCTGATTGCTCTGCCCGGGAGCATGCCCCTCAGGGGTTCTGAGGTGTCTGTGTGATTGGAAAAGGAGAACATTGCACAGATGGCCCTAACCCTGAGCCCCTTCTTCCTGCCCGGAGCAAAGAGGCTGCGGCTGTAGCACGGGATGAAGCAGGTCTGAGGAGAGAGGTGTCCCTGCTGGAGCCTCCCAGGGAAGAGGGAGGTGGGTGGGGGTGCAGAGCCCGTGGGTCAGACACGCTTGGGTTCAGATCCTGGCTGGGCCACTCACGGCCCTGGGGTCCTGGGCAAAGCAGTCCCCGGTTTCCACATCTGTGAGATGGGAACAATCACACATCCACTTCACAGGTTGTTGTGAAGAGCCAAGGTCATGTTTGCAAAGTGCATTAGCACAAAGTAATAACTGAGGGAAGGGGCCGGCGTAGCTCCGTAGGAGAGCACTTGCCTAGCACGCTCAAGGACTTGGGTTCCATCCGCAGCACGACCAAACAGTAATAGTGATAAGGAAGGCTGCGACTTGGGGGTGCAAGTGATATACTTGGAGAGTGATCTAGGGCAGCAATGAATGAGGGCGCAGGGCCCGGAGGGAAACAAATACGAGGTGTACTAACGAGCAGTTGCCATCCTAGGTTCAGTGCTCAATCCTCCAGTACCCCTGGCAGACTGTGCAGAACACACCTCAGAGTTAACTGAACAGAGGGACATTGATACACCACCTCCCTACAGTCATCAGGGAGGGCTACCCTAACCACTTGCCTTCCCCACACTTCCAGCCAGCCTGGGGCTCAAGGCAAGCAGGCTTGGAGTGATGGGGATCATCAAAGAATCCCAGCAGAAGTCAGGTGTGGTGGCCTATAACCCCAGCAGCTCGGGAGGCCGAGACAGGAGGATCGTGAATTCAAGCCAGCCTCAGCAATTCAGTGAGGCCCTAAGGAACTCAGTGAGACCCTGTCTCTAAATAAAATATAAAAAGGGCTGGGGATGTGGCTCAGTGGTTAAGTGCCCCTGGGTTCAATCTCCGGTACAAAGAAAAGAATCATCAGGCAGAGAACCACAGGTGCCATGCAGGAGACCCGCAAGTGCTGAGGGCCCATGAGTGCAGCACCATATCTGTGTCACAAGTGTTCTAAGGTGTGCCGGGTGCCATTTATGAGCCATTTACAAATATTAACTCGTGCACTATGTTCCGCTAACCACGATGAGTAAATGAAGACACAAGGGCGTGGAGAGGTGGAGTAACTTGCTCAAGTTCATCCTGTTAGGAGGCGAGCCAGGATTCTAACAGGGCAAATCTGGCTTATTAGGTCTGAAAGGCCTTAGACACCACCCAGGCCAATCCTTCACTGATGGATCGGGAAACTGAAGACCAGAGAAGGGGAGCAATGTAAAGTCCCCCTGCAAGCTGTGGCAGGACCAGGAACTGAACTCCCTCTGTCTCTGGCCGGCCCCTGCCCTGCGTTTTCTGCTCCGGGTTACCAGACACAGGTGGTGGCTTTCTGCAGCGGCTGGGAGCTGCAGTGCGGAAGCCACAGGGCCATTAATCGGCTGGGAAGGCGGGCAAGACACAATCAGATTATGATCTTAAGATGCATGCTTCGAATCTCAACATCAGCAAAGGAATCAGGACCCAGAGGACGTGTGTGTCTCCTGTCCCTGCTTTTTAACCCCAGGCTGTCATCAAAGAGGAAAAGAGGAGCTGGGTTCACTAGGGTGTGAAATTTCCTTTTTGTCTCCTGGGGTGGGGAGGGAGAGATGAGAAATTGCGATGCACCCTGTGTATAATTAAAGGCTCCAGAATTTCTGGAGGATTATGTTGCTTAGAGACTCCGTAGGCTATGGGTGGCAGAGCTGGGTGCTGCCTGTCATGCCCCTCAGTGGTCTAAGGGAGGCTAAGGGGTGTGTGTGTGTGTGTGTGTGCGCGCACGCGCGCGTGCGCTGGCTCACACTCATGCCTGAACTGAGGAGAAAGCACAACTGAAAAGATGTAAATTCACTTTGGAAGCTTCATACTTCACAGAAAAGCCAGAGCAGGGGACTGTTATCTTTACCCGGAGGCAACATTCTAGAATCTTCACCCTCAGGTTGCCAAGAGCTCGTGTCTTGGCCAAAGCCTCCTGTGTCTGTTGCAGACATGTCTGTCAAGAGAGCGGTGACCTGCTTACCTGGCTTCACCTGGTTCTATCCTGGTTTGGCACTGAACATCCACATCCTGGGAACCCTGGACAAAAATCAAGACGGCTGGTTGTCCTAGAAGAGGCCCTTCCTTCCCCACAATGGCTAACCCCAGACTGGAGAGGTCAGCTGTTTCAGGGTCAGTTGGGACCTGGACGAGGTCAGGGTTGTGACAAGAGCAGTCTATCTGTCTCTGTTTCCAAATTTGTTTCCAGCTCTTGTTTTTGGATATCACCTTTACCTGACTGCTTCCTCAAATCAGGTCACACTTCTGTCAGGGATCTTTCCTGCTCTGGGAAGGGGTGTCTGGGATTCCCTGTGGGCCTGGTTGGTCTGGCTGGCCAGGCCATGTGTCTGGTGTGGGGCTGATGCAGGACCCGGGCTGAGGCCAGGATACGAATGCTGTGCAATTTAGGAAAGTCTTTTTTCCCCCCCTCTCTGGGCCTTATGTAGGGATTGGACTGGGAGATTTTTATTTTTATTTTTTAAAGGGAGATTTTTTTTAAAGAGAGAGTTATGTTTAAATTATGAAAATAAATGCAATTATTTGTTGAAAGAAATTTAACAGTACAATAATTTAAGAGTGAGAGGTGAGAGTCCCCCTCTCTTCCCATGGGACAACCATTGTTAAGAGCCTCTATTTTTTTTATCTTCCCAGAAAATTTCCTATGCATATGCAAGCTGTGGGAGTATATATAGCCTTTATTTAAAATGTAACACAAATGAGATTGTACTTTACACGCTATTCTGCAACTTGCCTTTTCTGTTGAACAATATATCCCGGACATCTTTCCATGTCCACACACGCATAAATCTTTCCCATTCTGGTTGCCTGCCTTAAGGATGTTCTGCCTTAAGAATGTTCTGCCTTAAGGATGCACCTTGGCTTGTTTACTCAATGCTGCCTGTTTCTAAGCCCCCCCCCCCCAGCTCTCTTGCCTACCGTCCAGGCAAAGAGAAAGGGCTGGAGGGGGGAGGGGGAGGGGAAGGGGAAGGGGAGGGGTTGGGGCTGGAGAATATCAGCTCCAGGAAAGCTTGGTGTCTGTCGAATCTCTTCTTAGAGAGCCATAAAATGACTTGGAGAAGGGTAAGGAGGAGACAGGAACTTCTAGGCCCCGATAATTAGGTGCTCAGGGTGCTTCTAAAGATGCACAAAACAGCTCCCCCCACCAGGGTGGGGCCGCAGACACTAGGTTTTCTGCTAATGCAATGTGACAGGGCTGCAGTGCCTGATAAGTTTTTTTTCATTTCTTTGTCTTTCCTGAGAGAAACTCATGATTATCACCTTCTAGGTCACCAGGAACAGAGCGCAGAGGGACAACACAGCTCGGGCGCTTCCAGCTGGCTCCCATCAAGAAGTTAGAAGGGAGCCTGAAAATACATTTCCTGTTATCATCTCTCTTCTCCCGAATGACTTTCCCTGGCGGGGCTGGGGGAGGGGAGGCGGGCAGCAGGCCCCTCCCGAGGACCTGGGCAGGAATATTAATGCCCCGACTTTCGAGCGCAGGGGGAGGGCGGCACGGCCCAGCCCGGTCCGGGGAGGGCCTGGGAGAAGGGTCGCTGCGCAGCGCGCCGCCGGAGGCCCAGATCCGCCAGCCCTCGGCAGGAGCCGCCCAAATCCTAATGAAAACATCTCCTCGCTGCTGGCAGGGCGCCCCCGACGCACCGCCTGGCTTCTCCTGGGAGAGGATGGGCGCAGCGCGCAGACACCTCAAGCGCGGGGCCGTGTGCGCACAGCACCAGCGCCTTTCTCCCGGCCGGGGCATCCATCTCGCTGGGTCTGGATAGATAATACAATCTCTCTGCCCACACCCCATTTGCTGGGAGACAGCCTGGGCTTCTGAATTTTTTATGGCCTCACTTAGCTTGGAGGAAATCCAGAGGTCAAAGCCGGCGCAGACGCTCCAGTCACCTTGTCTGTCCGCTCGCACAGCCTTTCCGAAACGGGCTCACCCACGGGGCCCTAAATTATGGCGATTACACTGCAATTCGCGGCGCGATATTACTTTGATACACTACCTGCTGCAGCCCGGCCCGGGAGGCGTGCATTATTTACCAGGGAGGCTGCTTGCGCAGCGCACTAGAGCCGCTGGCGCTCTGCGGGGTCCCTCTTGTCCCTGCAGCCCTCCTCTGCCCGCTGTGCCAGGTCTTGAGCGGCAGTGCGGGCAGGACTGGAGCAGCCCCTTTCTTTTGCAGTGACCCTTTTCTGACCGCAATATAGGCCCAGAGAGTGGCCAATGTGGCAGCTGGCCATGAGAATGAAGGTGGGCGGGTGGAGAGAAATGCTGAGCCCGCAGCTCCTTCTGGCTCTTAAGAACACCCCTGACCCTCCTTAGCCGGCAAATAAGGGCCTTGGTCGCGTGCGCGCACACTCCTGGAACCGCACGGAGAGCGCGTCCTGGAGCGCACGGCCGGCTCCCGGATCCTGGCCAACTGCTAGCAGCGGGTTAACCCAGCGGCCAGCCTCAGGAATTCTTTTACTGGAGATCTAGTAGCTGCATTTGCCTCAGCGGATGCCCAGTTTTGCCTTGGCTGAGGCTGGGGGTCGGGGGCTGTGGGCGAAGTTGGGCAGCCGGCCTCTCTCCGGCTGCCCCCATTATGGCTTGGCATCAGCATCTAGATTGCAGGTTACTTCTGCTTTTATCCAAAGCGGTCCTTAAGGGAGATGGATTTCTGATTGAAATCCAGTCAATTGGCTCAGAGGCTCGGAGGGCGCAGCGTGAGCACACTTCTGGGGAAATTGCCCTGGGTCTGGGAGGAGGGGCCGCGGGGGAGGGGACCGGAGCCTCTTGCCCTGCTCTGAGCCTGAGAACAAGCAGCTTGCTCTGGTTGGTATGCGACAGTTGGTGTGCTTTGGTTGGTATTCCTAGAATCCCCGCTGGGGAATCCACCCTGTGTCTCCAGCTCCCTGGGTTGATCCAGCTAGAAATCTCTCAGAGGTCACTGCATTCAGTCTCTGGCTACCAGACAATGTGTGGTAGAGAGCCTGAGGAGGGGGCTCTGGTTGGCGAGAGGGGGCTCTGGTTGGCGAGATGGGGCTGTTTTGGTGGGTGAAGGAGGGTGACCTGGGTGGGTATGCCTAAAGGTGGATTCCTCCAGTGCTAGTTCTTGTTCTCCAGAACTTACTATCAAATAGGGAGAGGTAATTGATCCCTGCAGGACACACCTGGCTGGGGACAATCCTAAACTACCCCTAACTCCATATTCAGGACCTCACTTTTCTTATACCCAACCCAGCCCTCCTTTCCTATCAGGGAACAGGGAGGCGCCTGGGGGGCATCTCTGACACTCCACCTACGTGTCCCTATCACCCCTAAACATTTTCAATGCAGGGGGTCTGGATTCTGGATGAAGCCTTCTCTTTAGTGTGTCTTAAAAATGTGATTTGTCCTCGGAGGGGCCACAGGAGCCTCGAAGCCTTCCAGGGGAGGAGTTCACCAGCCCATCCATCAGGAGTGGCCTCACACCTCCGTGCCGGGGTTCATGGTGGGGAAGGGCACAGGAAGGCGGGGACTGAGAGCTGCCTGGTGCTTCCCAGTGGTTGAGGAGAGAATGATGGGGACAGCAGACATGGAGACCAGAGTGACACATTCCCTGGTATCCCAGAAATGTCAGGAGCTCCTTCTGCCCACTCTTCCTGGGCTGGCAAAGAGCAGACATGTCACCTCTGTCCTCCTGGGGACTTGTCTGAGACGTTATTCAGGAGGTGGCCATAGGGGCAGATGGTGCCCTGGGGTGGCCGAGGGCAGGGAGGAGTCTGAGTCTTTGCCCTGCCCCGCCCTTTACGGGCAGTGTGACTGTGGTCCTGTCACCCTCCGGCTCTGCTCTGGGGAAGAACAAGCGGGTCCCCTGCAGTGCACAGAGCCAACTGGGCCTGGCTGTGCTGCAGGGTCAGGACAGAACACCACGCTGGTCCACAAGAAGATGGATTTTCCTACTTGGTTCAGCTGGCCGACCAGGGGGCTGTGTCCACCTTGGTGGGCGGGAGGCAGAGCCGCCCTGTCCACCTGCTCCTCCTCTGTCTGTGGCTGTTGGCCTGATGGTTTGTTTGGTGGCTCCTGGCACCTGCTCCCTCCCTGTGCCGATCAGGAAGGTAACTCAGGTGGGGAGTGGCCGAGACGGAGCATCCACCGACCCTTGGGCTGGGAAAGGGTCTCTTGGGGGCCATCCCCGTTCAGTGGCCACCTTGGGCCTTGGGCCCCTCCGCAGAAGCTCCCCTTCTCCCCACCTCTCACTGACCCTCCCTGGGCAAGGTCATCATTTTCCAGAACCAGAGTCAGTGGGTCTCCTGGATCCTCTTTAGGAATCCGAGCTCTTCTTCTTGGGAGCAGGACACAGGGGTGGGTCCCTTTGGGGGTTCCAGGGCAGCCCTCTTGTCCACATGCCACCGTCTTCTTGGGCTAAATCTGCCCCGGGTCCCTCACTCGGCTGCTTCTGAGTTCTCTCCTGATCTTGGCTCTGCCAGGAACCAGCTGGGCTTCAGAGCCCTCAGGGCGTCTCCAGCCTAGGAGCCTGGGGCAGAGTCACCATCCCAGACCTTGGGCCCGCTGGACTCCAACGGCATGGCCGCCAGGCAGGAAACCTCTTCAGAGGGAAGGGGTTCTGCCAGCTCTTCCAGGGAGAGGCGTCTTCCAGGTCTCTCTGAAGCAGCCATCCTGCCCTTCCTCAGAGCGTGCAGGATGTGGATGCCCCGCGGGGGACCCAGTGTCCTGCCCTGACTGGGAGGCAAAGGTGCAGGAGGGATGAGGCTCTTCAGTTCTCCCCGCCCGTCCCTGGCCATCCTGGGGGTGGCCCCCGCAGGCTTGGGACCACAGTTGGGCCCCGGGGAAGGCCTCCAGCTCGGCAGCCACCCCCAAGGCCTTCTGTCCCCAGCACCCCAGAATTTCTCCTGACTCCCAGGAGGTGTTCCTGGAGGACCCCCTCCGCACACAGCCCTCCTCCTCCCCGCCCCCAGCTCTTAATTTATTATTAACTCTGAAACTGACTTTGAAATTATGGAGGACCGTGTTGTTTCTCTCCTCGGCATCTCTTATGGTCCCCAAGGGGAGGTGAGCCGGGAGAGCCAGAGACACAAATATGCTGTGAAAACCCTGTGGATTTCCAGTGGCAGCGAGGGGAAGGAAATTAGCTGTAATAAGCCTCCAACGCAGACCCTCGGGGGGCTCCTGCCCCTTCCTCCACGCCCCCCTCTCCTGGTCAGCTGGCTGGAGATGTGTCCTCCCCACCCTGTCCTGTGACATCACTGCCAGGGATCACTATTGGGGCCTGTGAGGAGGAGGGAGGGGGCACACAAAGAAGCCACCCCGGCCCCCTCTCTGAGCCATTAGCTTAAATGGTGGTGGGGGAAGCGGGTGGGAGTCAATTTTCCTTTTCCTAGAATTACTGGAAGGGAGAGGATTATTTGGAAGTTTCTGAGAGGTGAAAGAGATTCATTGGCCCCCCAAACAAAAGGATCCGTAGGCGACTGGCCTTTCCTTTTTCCTCTCCTGAGGAGAACCAGGGGCTAAGACCTTTAAGTGACTATCCCACAGCAGCAGCTGCACTTAGGGAGAAAATAGCCCTGGACTGTGACTGGAGCTGTGGGAGGAGCTGCTTCAGCCCCGTGGTTGGCTTCCTCTCTGACATCTAGGGCAAAGAACCCACCTCAGTGTCTGGGTGGATGTCCTATTGAACATTTACTGAATTGAGGAGGTTAGGTGGCCTGATAACGTGCTGTGTGACCTCTGGCAAATCACCTAGCTTCTCTGGGCTTCAGGTATTTTCTTTGTCAAAGGCAGGCAGAGGTTGAAACGAGTGACCAAGGAGGGACACAGTATTTTATAATTGTGACCCAAATACACTCTCCCTCATGGCCACCAGTCCAAGTGATGCACTGTCTCCCATCAGCCTCTTTTGCTGATAATGCTGTTTCACACCCAATGGGGGTAGCTGTGATCTTTCACCACCAGCAGTGGTCTTTGAGATTTAAAACTTTAGTAATAAAGTCGATTGCTACCAATACTCTGAATCTGTCTGCTTTAAACTGTCCTGAGACTCCCCCGCCCCGCACCTTGGCCAGTCAATAGGAGGGAAAAGTGTGGAGTGTGGGAATCTGACTACCTGACTTTGATTCCTGGCTCCACCCTGCACCCGCCATGTGACCAGGGGCCTGTTCCTTCACTTTCCCGTGCCTCGGTTTCCCCATCTGTAAAGTTAGAATAATACATCACAAGACCGTGGTGACTTGAAGGGTTTAGACCAGTGTCTGGCGCATGGTCCATGTAAATGCGGTGACCACTGAGTACTGTTAGCTGGACCACAACTTCAGCGCAATTCCTGGGCAGCTTCTCAGCAAAGCTGGGCTCTAGCGGGGCATGGTGGTGCTGGCCTGTGATCCCAGTGGCTCGGGAGGCTGAGGCAGGAGGATCGCGGGTTCAAAGCCAGCCTCAGGAACTTAGCAAGGCCCTGAAAGCAACTCAGCGAGGCCCTGTCTCTAAATAAAATATTTAAAAAGGCTGGGGATGTGGCTCAGTGGTTAAGCACCCCCTGGGTTCAATCTCCAGTCCCGCCCCCCCCCAAAAAAAAAAGAAAGGAAAAGGCAGGGTCCCTGTTTTCACCATGCCAGCCACAGGTCTTTGCTGGAGTGATCCATTAGAGACCTGTAATGTCTGAAATCCCACGGGCTCACCCAGGGGTGACCTTCAAGGTGCACTCCTGGTTAGCGAGGGGCGGCGCGTTTCTGGTTAACGGAGCACCCTGGGTGACGGACAGGCCCTTGCTGTTTGGTTTGCTTCTCTTGTAGTTGGAGATTTATTTGAAATGCACAGATCTGGTTTCCTGCTCCACCAGGGGGGTTGTTAATGTCCCTTCGTAACGAGGCAGCGGGGTGTGAAACAGAGCCCGGGAGGCGGGGGGAAGGCTGGGGAGCCCCCAGTGTGCGCCTCGTGCGCCTCTCCCCTGGGCGTCCACGTCTATGAAATGGGGGAGTCATACCAGAGGGAGGGCGGCTTCCCCCTCTCATGAGGGGACATCAGGGGCCGCAGAGTCACCTGGCACTGCCCATGGAGGGTCTGCACCTGGGCGTCCATCGCAGGACAACTGACCTGAGCCCAGGCACCTGCAGGGACCTCAGAGGACTGTGCTGGGCCTGGGCTCCCCGGGATTAGAGGGCTGTGTCCTGTCGCTGTTCTCTGGCCGTGTTTCATTCTACGTGTTAAAACAAACACCTAGTGATGGGCCCTCCCCAGGGCCAGGGCCTGAGAGGCTGGATGTGCACACACCAAACACGCAGCGGCCGGAACGTGACACGGGTGGGACTTGACACCGTCGCGGTGACAACTGCCTGGATTCCCAGAGCACTTCCTCACATCGGGTTCACACTCGAGCTCTGGGGACCTGGATGTTCCTTCATTTGACAAGTATTTATGGGGACCCAGCCAAAGGCTGTCCTGGCCGAGATGGTCCCCTGAGGGGTCCCGTGAGGTTGAGGGTGGCGTTGAGATGGCAGTGAGTACCACAGTGGGTGGGAGGGGATGGCAGACGGGGGCAGGACAGGACAGATCCTGCGGGACCGGTGACTCTCTGTAAGATCACAGAGCTGTCTGCAGTGGAGACACGGCCACGGCCACAGTCATCACCATGTGAGTTGACAGCCACCGACACTGGCTGGGGCCACCTGCTAATTATAAAGAATCCAACCCCCCACGGAAACCCCAGGATGAGGGTGTCATTATAGTTAATGACTTATTGATCTTTCGGTGCTGGATGGAACCCGGGGCGGGGGGGCGTGTGCTCTCCCCCTCAGCTACATCCCCAGGCCCGGGGATCTTCATTATTCCCACTGTACAGATGAGGAGACTGAGGCTCAGAGAGGCTGAGCGACATCACCCAGGTGATCAGGAAGGACCCGAGACCGGAGGCTCCTGACCCATCTGTGAATGTCGTCGCTGTTGGGGGCTCTGGGATAAGCTTTTGAACTGTCACCTGAGCAATCTCACTCGGCCGAGTCGTCGCCATTCATTTGACCCATAGTCCCAGTGCACTTGGCCGTCTGGGGGGTTTACCTTATTCAAGAGTGGGGGGGCTGCCCTGGGGAGCCGAGAAGCTGGTGGGCCAGGGAGGTTGCAGGTTCTGCGTGAAAACTGGTGGGAAAAACAGAGAAACCGCGAGGTCATGGAGTGGGACGATGCGGCCTGGGTCGCTGAGTGTGGAGAGGGACAGAGAACCGCACCGCACCTCTGTGGCTCCCCCCTCCAGCCCCCTGCACGGTTTCCAACGCGTCAGATTCTATTAGGAGAACCAGGCGCAGCGTTCCAACAAACACGGTTGCCACCTATTTATCCAGGGACTCCCCCGCTTTGGCGGCGACAAACATGCCCATTTGTTACTATTTGCAAAGATGGTGTACACCAAACAAGGGCTTTCTGTAAACAAATTAAAAAGTAATAAAGTGGCCCCATCTGCATACTCCAGCGATGTGTTTCCATTTTAATGAAGCTCGCTGTAGCAAAGCCATTCTGATGGCTTGTCACACACACTCACCGCGTGGCTGATCACCGGGTGTCGCACCACGGCACGGTCTCTCCTCCCTGCAGTGTGCACGGGGCACCAGTGGACGGGGCGCCATGGACCTGCCCCTGGGCTGTCTGCTGTGCTAGGGAGACCCCGGGTGGGCGGGTGACAGTCCAGTGTGAAGCTCAGACACCACCTGGGGGCCAGGCGGGCCACAGCAGCTGCAGTAGTGACGCTCTTCAGTCAGCGTTGGCCACAGTGTGGGGTGTCGGGACTCTGCAGTTGGCTCCTCTCTGCGCTCCTCCTCCCTGGGCTGTGCCTCCAGGGAGGCTGGCCTCTGTGGAGCACATACCCTGGCCCCAGGCCCGCCTCTGGGTGGCATTGCCCCAAGCCAGGCGCCACGAGGAACCAGGAGGAAGGGAGAGAGATCAGGTAGGACTGGTCCTTCCCCCACAGCCTGGCTCTGCCTCTGTCCGGTTCCTGTGACTGTTCCCTCCCCTTCCTCCCTAGGCGCAGGGGTGGGGGATGGGGGTGTGGGGGGGTGTAGCTCCCCAGGGGGCCGGCCTGGGCTTCCTACCATCCATGGTGATCTTTCCCACTTCTGCTCATCTGTCTGCAAACAACCCTTTGGTGGAAACCCTGTGCCCTGCTAGGATCCGGGTAGCCAGAGCTGAGCCCTTACGAAAATGCTCTCCTTCCTCAAAGCCACTGTAGGGTAGGAGATGTCGGGACCTCGATTACAGAAACTGAGGTTCAACTTGCCCAAGGCCTAGGAGAGGGCAGAACTTGAACCCGATGTGTCAGTCAACAGAGATGAATTTGGTCACTGCCTCACCTCCCGGGAGGAAGAACGGCTCATGTCAGTCTCGAGCACTTCTGGCACGTGGACCAGCCCAGCCGTCATCAATTAACAAACCTTTATGGAGCACCTGCTATGAGCCACGCCCAGTGCTGGGCCCCAGGATTCAGAGGCAAAGCCTGGTTCTTGGTTCTCATCTTTGGCTGCAGGTTAGCTCCACCTGGGGATGGAGAAGACTCAACATCCCGCTGCCCCAGCCAACGGAGCCAGACTCTGGGGGTGCGGCCAGGCACGGCTGCTGGTGAGGCCAACGGGAGGTCGGGAGGCGAGACCCACGCTTGGGTGAACAGGGGATCAGAGAAGTCTGCAGGATGTGGCTGGGCCGGGGACACCGCAGCCCTGGAGGATCGGAGAGAAGGAGGGGGGCAAAGTGAGGGCCGGGGATCATTGGCCTGGGGTTTGCGGCAGGCCTCACCCAAGCCCCAGCATCCTGCGGCTCTGGGCAGAGATGAGTGTTCTGGCTCCTCAGCCCGGAGCGTCCCTCGGGGGCCACGGAGGGGCCTGGGCGCTGGGGAGCCACTGGCCAGGCCGGCACGGGTGTGGGAAGGAGCTGGGAGCAGGCCCCGGCAGAGGCTGCCTTCCTCACACGGTGCCACCGCGCCCTCCAGAACCTTCCATTTCCATGCAGAGCTCGGTGCTGCACCATGCTGTCCACCAAACTGGCCATTAAAGAGAGCGAGTGTCAGTCCCCACCCAGAGCACCCGCCAAGCCAAAGTCTAGTCGCAGGCGATCAGGGTGGTCACCTGGGAAGCCCAGCCCAAGGGAGGCGAGGCTGTGTCCTCTAGAGCAGTGACCACAGGCCCCCGGGCCGTCCTAGCCGCCCATCCACCACGGTGAGAGGCCCTAAGCCATGGCCAGTGGCAGCCCCGTGGAAGACGCAGCCTGACGGCAGGTGACTTCTCTCCATGCTGCTCTGTCCCTGGGGGTGGGAGGCAGAAAGGGAGGGGAGCCCCCAGCAGCCCAGGGGCCACTGCTGCTGCCCCTCAGGGAGCCCCTGTCCCCCCCACCACCACACAGCCCTTCTCCTACTCTTGACCCGTTAAACACCAGGTTCCCCATCCCCAGTGACCCCTTGACCCTTGAGGGCACCTCTTTCCCTTTTATCTCTAGACCCCGCCCCCAGGGCCCGAGCAGGCAGGTCCAGCAGCAGCAGGGACAATGGAGCATTGGACAGCGGAGCGTTTACCCATGGCTGAGGGTGGCTTGTCACCCTGACTTGTGTGATTGCTGAATCCTAACGGCAGCCCTGGGAGCTGGCTTCCATTATCAGCTCCATTTTCTAGTTGAGGAGATAGAGGCACAGAGAGGCTAAGTGGCATACCCAAGGCTGCAGAGCACTGGAGGTTGAACCCACTGGCTGCAGAGCCCCTTCCCCTGCTCACTGTTCTGCCCCTCCCTGAAAGTGCACCAGAGGCTGGTTCAGGCACGAGGCCACCACGGCTCTGACAGATGGAATCAGGGAAGCAGGTCTCCCCTCTGTGTGGCTTGACTGGTGTGTCCTTGGGAAGGAAGGAACTCACTGCCTCTCCTCCCACTGAGGACCTGGGGACAGGGCTACTCCTGCCCCATTCCTAAGGAAGGGAGTCCTGCAGGCTTCAGGTTGGGCCAGGAGGAGTGGCCGGCCCTCCTCAGGCAGCTCCCTGGCTGAAGCACCCCAGAGGGTGTGGTGGAACAGTTGTCATCTTGGTTTTGCTACAGGTTCAGAGAGGTTAAGTCACTTGCTTAAGGTCACACAGCCCCTAGCTCCAGAACCAGTTTCTTTGGGCACTAGCACTGACCTCCTCCACATCCTGCCCCCTGATTGAGCCAGTCCACACAGCGCAGATTGTTTTCTGAAAGCCTCCAGCTTTTTGTGGAAACAGCTCCGAGGTGGAGCCCTGACCTCCATCATGTGCCCTTAGGGATTTCCTCCTCAGGTGCCTGCGCCTGGTCCTCCCGTCTCACTGGCTGGGCACTAGGCGAGGCCTCTGTGATCCCCGCACCGACCCCATGAGGTGGCTGCTCTGCGTATCATTCCCACTGGACAGACGCTGGCACGGGCCCAGGAAGGACAGGCCAGAGCTGCAGGGGACCTTGACAGGGAAGTGAGCAGTCGGCCTGGGTGGCCGAGACGCAGGACATCAGAGGGCAGGAAGCATGTCCCCCTGTGGAGCCCGGCCTCTCCCTCCTGCGTCCAGAGGCTGTGGAGTGGCCTCCCCCGGCTGCCAGGGAGGGCTCAGCCTCCGCCAGGGGAGAGGCTGGCTCAGCCCACGCCCTCCTTGCTGAAGGCAGGCTGCCTCCTCCTGTCCCTCCAGAGGACTGTTTCCGTGCTCCTTGGTCCCCCGGCACCCGAGTGCCACTAAGCCCCTCTTTACGGCCACCGGCAGACGCATTGAGCTGGTTAGGGAGGCTCCTGCCCGGTGTTTGCCCGGCATCTAAGAGGAGGCCTGGGCCTCGTTCCCGTGCTGGATAGAGGAGCTGAGCGGCTCTTTCTCTATTAATAGTTCCACTCCAGGAACCGGGTCCCCCGGCCTCCTTTCCAGTCTGCGGTTATAGCACATTATGAATTCCACGGCCACAGGGCCCCAAAAGGTCTCCCAGCTCCTGGGCGTGCTGGCTGTGAGGACGCCATCCTGGACGGTACCCTGGTGGCGTGGTGGCACGTGAGGCAGATGCTTCCAGAGTGCTCAGCCCAATGCATGCCAGGTGCTGGGCTGCACTGGACAATGACTCCTATCCAGAGATGACCCGAAGAGGGGCAGGACCTTGGCACTCAACCTCTGTGGGTCTCCACGGCCTTATCTCTAAGTGAGGGATCGTGATGGGTCTCGTGTTAGGCACCGTGGCAGATACCTAGAATCCCAGGGACTCAGGAGGCTGAGGCAGGAGGATCATGAGTTTGAGGCTAGTCTCTACAATTTAGCAAGACCCTGTCTCAAAATTACAAAAGGATTGGGGCTGGGAGTGGTGGTGCTCGCCTGTAATCCCAATGACTTGGGAGGCTGAAGTTGAGGCCAGTCTCAGTACCTTAGTGAGGCCCTAAACAACTTAGTGAGACTCTGCCTCAAAAATTTAAAAAGTGATAATAACTCAAAGAACTGGGGCTGTAGTTCAGGTGGTAAACCTCTGGGTTCAACCCCTAAGACCCCTCCACCCCTGCCTCCACAAAAAAAAACCAATCGGACTCCCCTCTCAGGGTGGTTGTAAATGCTGTCTCCATGGCGAACCCTCAGAGGGCTTTGTGTGATGGTGGTGGCGGGAGGGGAAGGTGGGCGAAGCTCAGGGGCTGAAGTCACCCAGACTGCATAGCTGGGATTCGGGATTCGATTCCAGCCTTCTCAGCCGTCTTCGTCTCCTCCTCCTCCTTCTTTTTGTGCTGGGGATTGAACCCAGAGGTACTTGACCACTGAGCCATGTTCCCAGCCCTTTTTACTTTTTTAAAAAAATATATTTATTTTTTAGTTGTAGGTGGACACAATATCTTTATTTTACATTTCTGCCCAGTGCCCCGTGCATGCTAGGCGAGCGCTCTACCACTGAGCCACAACCCCAGCTCCCCCAGCCCCCTTTTTACTTTTTATTTTGAGTCAGAGTCTCACTAAATTGCTTAGTTGCTGAGGCTAGCCTCGAACTTGGGATCCTCCTGCCTCAGCCTCCCAAATTACTGGGATTACAGGTGTGCGCCCCACACCTGGCTGTCCTCTCTACCGTCTAAGCTCATACCTGCACCACACTGTGCTACATCGGTCCCAGGCCTCCATTCTACAGGGAAGGCAAAACCAAGCCTGGAGAGGTACAGTGACTTCCCCAAGAGCACACAGCAAGCAGGCCTGCAAAATGTACGGACGGTGCCCTGCACGGGTGACAGACAGTGACAGCCAGGGTTGGAGTCCCAGCCCAAACCCATTCACAAGCCACTTCTGTCTGGCTCTCAGTTTCCCCATCTGGAAAATGGGTGAAGGCCTTGGTGAGACTTGAGGGGCTCCCAGGTGGAGCGTGGATTTAAACCAGAGATGTTAATGGCAGGAGGGACCGTAAGTCTCTGCCAGCTGAAACTGGTGGTCCCAGAGCTGCAGTGGCCTGTGGACGCATTTTGTTGGCAGTGTATTTTTTTTTTTTTGATCCCAGGGAGTGGACTCCAGGGCACCTGACCACTGATCCCCAGCCCTTTTTTATTTTTTGTTTTGAGACAGGGTCTCACTAGGTTGCTTACAGACTCACTAAGTTGCTGAGGCTGGCCTTGAACCTGTGATCCTCCTGCCTCAGCCCCCATAGCTGCTGGTATTATGGGTGTGCCCCACCACAGCCTGCTGGCCGTGTCTTA